GGTGCGGTTGGCGCAGGATAGAGCAGGGTTTAGGGCTGTTGTGCATAGGGTCGCTATGAGTCGGAAACGACTCGACGGCACATAACAACAACAACAACACTAGATAGCCTCAGAATTTACTAGAAGGTCAAAGAATTGCTCAATTATTATTGTTGCCAGATATCAAGCAGTAGGCTGCCTCTCTAGAAAGACAAGGGGGTTTTGGGCATACAGGATCAAATACATACTGGAACACCATTATTAATGATGCAAGACCACACATGATTGTTACAACTGAAGGGCATAAATTATAAAACTCGATTGATACTGGGGCTGAGGTTTCAATTGTAGCTACTCATCACTGACCCTCATTCCTGTTTGTTCCCATCTCTGTCTTTTCCTTCAGTCGACAACAATACCTCTAAGCTAAAAATTCCAAAATCTTCACAACTGGGCCAACAGGGAACATCCTGATAAATGGAGAAAAGACCTGAAGTTGTCAAGGGTTTCACTTCACTTGGATCCACAATCGACACCTATGGAAATATCGACCAAGAAATTTAAAAAGTGCTGTGCTGGGCAAGTGCTGCCCAGGGCTTCTCGTAAAGCGTTACTGTAGTCACCAATTGATCCACTCGTGTGGAGTCTGGGACCTGATTCAAAGGCTATTCTTCTAGAACCACCTACTTTCCCTCCTTTGTTGATGGTAAGTCCATTTTTAGACAATAGGTTGACAACAAACTGTTGGTTAGCCTCTGTGCCTTCTACTAGCTAAGCAACCCAGGGCCTTGCTCATGAACGTTCACTGGAAAACCAAAGCGTCTTAAAAGAAAGCGATGTACTTTTAATATTAAAAAAAAAAAAGACAAAAATGGCACATGAATCTGGCCTATCTGACTGACTGTGAGTAGTGGAGCCAAGAACATGGTAACAGTGAGAGCAAACCTAACCTAACCTACACCTGTCAGATACAACAATCAAACACATTTCATCAAGCGGGAAATGGGGGAAGATGGGAGCACGACATTAAACACTACCAGAACCAAGCGTTTCCTCGGGGAAGCAGCTGCTCAAACCCAGCCTTGTCCTCGTAAGAAGCGCCACCACTCTCTCTGCTCCTTTGAAGGCTTCTTGGTTTTGGTTTTGTTTTATCAAATGTGTCTAGCAACCAGGCCAGCAGTTTTTCACTTTGTCACTAAGGCTTCTTATTTTAATTTCTGGAAAGTTGGGTTTTTAATAAATTGGGAACGCCTCAACCCTTTCCTTCCACCACTCTCAGCCCTTGTTTTTGTATTGGGGATCAGAGCTGGCTGGCCGCGTGCTCGTGTGGGTGGGGGTCAGGGAGGCGAATGCTGATGTCAGGGGGGCACAGGTGGGCAAAGGCGGGGAGCGTTACCGTGCCAGTGGTGGGCCTGGGACAGCTCCCGCACAGCCTGCAGCCGCGTCGCCGCGTCGCCCGCCATGCTCTTCCGCAGCAGCAGCCACACGGCACACTCGTGGTCCTCCACGTCCACCGTGCTGAAGCTGTCTGCAAGCAGAACAGGGCGCAGTCGTCCTCGGCGTCACACTCATCTCAGAGAACAGCTAACCTGGAGGTGAAGTCTGCACTGCTGGTGCTTGTCTGTGTATCGTAGAGTCAAACCAACACACGGCTGACCCTCGGGCAGGTTTTAAGAGGCGGTAAACTGCAGAGAAGGAGACTGCCCATCTTTCTCCCACAATGTACATGGTGGACTTGAACTGGACACCTTTGAGGTGGCAGTACCATTCCTCACCACTAAGCCACCAGAGCTCCCGTAAGTCTTCTCCACTGTTGTTGTTATCGCTGGGTGCTGTCTAGCCAGAACAAACCCATAGCTGACCCTCCAGTGGGTTTTGATAGGCAGGGAATCATGTGGAGAGAGACTGCCCGTCTGTGTCCCTTGGAGCTGGCCAGGCTCCTACAGGCCACCGGAGTCCCTGAGGTCTGCACGAGAAGACTTACAATCATTTACAGTATTGACATTAACTGTTGTCTCTGTCCTCATGTGTAGCACAGACACAGGGAATCCTGTGTCCACAGGGAGCTGAGCTGCTGCCCCACAGGCCTCACCTCTATGCCAGTTCAAATCCACCATGGAGTCTGAGGAAGAGAGTAGGACCAACTCCGCCTGGGCGATTTACAGCCTCAGAAACCCCTGGAGAGTCAGCTACAGGTCTGTTCCAACTCCTTGGCAGCGAGCTGAGCTGTGCACGTACATGTCTCATGTTTTACACTGTAGTATTTCAGTAAGTGGCTGGTTTGGGGTTCTCCCCCTCCTCCTCAAAAACACTTTTTAATATGAGAAATTATCAAACAGAACTAAGAGATAAATAGAATATATCGCTGTATATTTGCCAAGTCTACAACTATTACTCTTCTCCTCTTTTGTAGCATATGTGGGGAGCCCTGGTGGTGCAATGGTTACACACTCGGGTGCTCTCTGTAAAGATAACAGCCTTCACCCCATGAAGCAGCTCGTCTCTGCCCTAATGGGTCAATGAGGGGGAATCTTGACAAGACTGAGCTGGTGTGTCTGCATGTGTGATGAGCCCTGGGTAACACACAAGTTACTAACTCCAAGTTTGGTGGTTTGAATCCCCCCTGTAGCTCCACGGGAGAAAGACCTGGCTACCTGGCTATCAGACATGCGGATTTCAGCCTAGAAAACTCTATGAGGCATGTCTCTGTCCCATGTGGTTGCTAGGAATTGAAATAACTCAACGGCACCGAGTAACATATGGGTGTACATGTGTCTAAACACATACAACATATGTGTGTGGGTCTAAAGAATTGAAAGTAAGCTGGAGACAAGATGACATTTCACTCTTTAATCACCTAAGAATAAGTTTTAATTCTTCCACACAGTGTCATTATCACACACTAGGAAAGATTTCCCATATCATCCAATATCCAGTTCAACCTCATATTCAGTTTCTCCAAGTGTCCCCACAATATCTTTGGTAGGGCTGCCAACTCGGGTCCTGGCCGTAGTGACCCGGCACATGACAGAACAAAAACGCTGCCCAATCCCAAGCTGTCCCCACAGTCACCGATGTCCCTGAGCTTGAATGTGTCCATAAAAAAACAGGGGAAAAGATCATCTCAGGTTGATCATCAAATCACTTTCAAATGACACATCAGGATTCCCTGTGGAACGCCAGGAACTTACCAGCAAATGGACCACGTAGTATTCTGGCTGACGTGGCCAGCATTTTCCTCACTGCTTTATGAAGTTCTTTCCTTGCCTGGTATGTGACTCCTGAAATGAGAACAAGCTTAAATGAAGCCAAGTGTGTACTCTGATGCCCTCCTCTAGCGCACCAGAGAGAAATGCGTCCACGGCAAGTGCTTTACACAAAGGAAACGCACAATGGCATCTCTCCTCTACCTAACATCACTATCATTGCAAACCAGACAACATGAAAGAAAAAAGGCGACAGGCCCCCAAATGAGTTTGTTTTTAAAGTTAAACAAAAACTAAAAAGAAAATGGGACAAAAACTATTAAAACTCATAAAGACCCTCACACAGAACACAGGACTGGCTACATTCCAGACAATGGCCTTAAAACCAGCTCATCTCAAACAACTTTGACGACAGCTTCAGAATGAGACTACGCCTCCCCCTCAGGTTAGAGGCTGATGGCCTTCTGTGTAGTTGGGGTGACGACACAGCACACCAGCATGTGGATATAGTGATACCAGGAGGTGAGCTGTGACCATGAGAGACAAAGGACAAGAGAAGGCCAGAGACCGCCCTCCCAGGAGGATAAAAAGTTTCCTTCTTGGTCAAGACAGACAGGCAGGAGGAGGCAGCTTGCGTATCCAGTGTGCAAGTCCATCAGGGTGCTGGGACCTCGATGGAAGGACTGCTCTGCTCTACAAGTCCACGGTCACCTAGTAAACACGTGACTGGATCTTCACGTGACCTAAAGACCAAAGGGGGGCATCCTCACTGGTACAACCCACCACTCAATGCCGCTGAGCTGACTCCCACCCACACAGACCCTGTAGGGCAGAGCAGGACGGCCCCATAGCATCTGCAAGGCTGTAAACCTTCTTTTTTTATTATTATTATTATTTGTGTGTGTACTGTCAAATCAGATCCGAATGGTACAGGAGGAGATTGTCCCTTTTTCTCCAGCAGAACATCTGGTGGATTCAAACCGTGCACCTCTGGAATTGCAGTGCAGCTTCCTGCCACTAGGCCACCAGAGCTCTCTAAGGCTGTAAATCTTCACGGAAGTGGATGTCCTCATCCTTCTCCCTCGGAGCTCCTGGGTGGGTTTGAACCACCAACCTTCAGACCCAATACCTGGTCCACTGCACCACCCAGGCTCCTTCCTGACAGGGAAGCACATGTGTAGTGACAGATTTTCCTCTCTGGAATAAGGCGGTTTTGATACTGAAGGATCAGTCTTAAGAGTGTAGTACCGGGGTTGGGGGGAAGACTGAGAAAAGTGGGGATAACTAATGTATACTGTATTGAAACAGATGAGGGAGAGAACTGTTTAAAAGGGATATATGACTAGGCATTGTGATGACCAGAGTCCAGAATCAAGACTACTTCGTGGAGTGGATCTGGGGGGAGGGATTGTATAACAATAAAAGAACTTTTACTTTTCAAAGAAAAGAGTGAACTGGGGAGGAGGTGGTGGGCAGGGAGAAAAGTGCAACAATGAATGCCTGGAAACCCTAAGTCTCTGTAAACTGTCATTAAAATTAATTAAACAAAATTTTAAAAAAATTATCCAGCACCACCAAAACCCACCCCCCCAAAAAAAAAGAGTGCAGTGCGCTCAGGAAACCCTCTCACGGCAGAGCCGGCGCTCGGTGCTGAACACAAACCTGAGCCCATTCTTAGACCGAGGCCCTCCGAGAGGAGGTGCTCGAAACACAACTGTCATCTGTGTCTCTCGTCACCTGGTTACATCTCAAATCTGGTCTTCCATTACTCTCTCTCAGAGCGTGGTTCTCACAGAGTGTGGCCATTCTCAGAGTTAGCCGGACCTTTTCTAGCACTGTTACGTTTTAATAACCAGAGCAGAGAACTCTGGTAGCTTAGTGGTAAGAAGATGCACTGCAACCCCCAAGGTAGGAGGTTCAAATCCACCAGCTGCTCCAAGGGGAAAGGACGGGCAACCTCCTCTCCTGTGATTTACTGCCTCTGAAAACCTGCTGGAGGGGCAGCCACGGTCAGCCCTAACTTGATGACATGACAATGTTTTACTAGATCCTCCTCAGACGTCCAGACCCAGCTTCCGTCTTTCACAAAATGGGATTCTTTTACCCTGCACTCACCCTGCGTGTCCCTGATGTCCGAGGAAGCCGCGTTCACGTATATGTACGATTTCATCTTTTCTTGCTCTACCACCTGAGAATCCAGCGTCAAGGACTTCTTCAGGGCCAGAACTCCGTATGTTAAAAACAAAGAACCTCTGAAAGGGAAGCAATGAAGCCACCGTTAGCAGAGGAAGGACCTCGACGTGATCCAAGAGCTGCTCTTCCGGACTCATTCGCCTTTGTCCATAGTGAATTTTCTACATTCACTGGGAAAATGAACATACACACAGAGCACATCTATATGGGTGTCTAACCAAGCTTCATATAATAAATACTATTCAGTAATATCTATTTAATAATAAATATCTGTATAAATACACAGAAATGAGAAGAGAAAAATAATGGCAGCGCTGAAGCCACCTTGTCTACACTCCCGGTGACACCCATTCATCGACGTCACAATGACAACTCTGGTTTGCTTTACAATACTGTCCTTGCTCTCCTGTCTGGCTTCACTACCTGCGTAAGCATCCTCACATGACAGTCTAGTCTGGCCGCTTCGGCGCCTCCTGAGAGGATCCATCCACGTGCTGCACGGCCCGCTGGTCCATCGACAGCTTTCCCTCGGCGTGGGACTGACCCACGGAATGGACACAACCCCACATATCGACCTCTCCAGAGGTGGGCCTCTCCCAGACAGTGCTGCCCACATCTGATGGGCCTGTGTCACGACCACGCAAGTACAGGCTCCTCTGGGCACCAGGTAAACCTTCTCACAGCTCAAATTTGCTGGGTAGAGTCGCTCTGCTTTTCCAAAAGGTTCTGCTGATTTAGACTCCCAACATCATCCTGAAAAAGGGCCTGCCAATTTAGACTCGCATAACCACTATATGCACGCTTTCTCTCGTAAGAAATAAACCTAATACTGAATTTCAAACATGAAGTGAAGTTTGCTGTACACTTTACAAAGGAGACTTTATATCCAGAGGTGGCTGCCTCCCGTTCTAAGCCTGCCCTGGCCTTTGGCGCCCTCCTAAAGCAAGCAGGAGGACCGAGGGCCAAGCACTGGACGGCATTGAGGGGACAAAGAACAGTTGGGAGGAAGGCCCAGGAGACCCGCCAAGCAGCACGTGTAGGGAGCATGTGTAGAACATTTCCCGTGAAAGATACAGCCCTTCCCCCAAACAGGCGCCTTTTACTCTAGCCCTGAGCAAGACACACAAACCAAGTGTATTAAACGGTACACATTCCATATCCAGATAAAATGTCAAAATAGAAATCCGTTACTACTTTTCCATCAAAGAGTGAACTTTGTGTTTATACTTCTTGTTGTGTATTGTGGCGTTGGAACCGACGCATCATAGCTGACCCTCCAGCAGGTTTTCAGAGGCAGTTAATCCCATGTGAGGAGACTGCTCACCCTTCTCCCGGTGGCCTCAAACCACGTGCCTTCGAGATTGCAGAGCAGCTTCTTGCCACGAAGCCACCAGAGTTCTTTTATTACTGGGGGGAAAATACTACTTAGTAATTCCAGCAGAGTGTGTTGTTTGTTAGGTTCCGTTTAGTTGACTAAGACCCACAGCGACCCCATGAGCAACGGCTCTGAAGCGTGCTCCAGCCTGAACCGATCTCACTGTCTCTGACACACCTCCCTCTAACCACTGCCATAATCACTGTATCAGTCCACCTCACCCAGGGTCTTCCTCTCCTGTGCTATCTGTCCCTCCACCCTTCCAAGCATGATGGCCTTCTCTAAGGACCAGTCTCTCAGGGGAACATGCATAAAATATGCGAGATGCATTTAAAAATCCTCGATTACAGATAAATATATCAAATATATTCCCCTCCCCCTTGAAAACAAGGGGATGTAAGGAAAGACAAGGACCGTTTCAGGAGCGCGGCCCCACCCAGTGAGTGTGCACCTCTGAGGGGAATGGGGTGCTTCACCCTCCCAGCCAGCCTCCGTCTCCAGCCTGAGGGGAGAGGCTCAGGAATAACAATGACAATGACTATGACATTTCTCTTTCTGACATAACATACAATTTATGCCAAGACCATTTTATTTAATGTCATTGCTTTCACATGTGTTATGTATTATTTGTTAACGAGGTTGTACCATAGTTTTCTCCATGTAACTCACAAATTTTACTTCTTGGTAAACTATGCTCTTCATCCTTAACGTATTTTCATAAGTGCACTATTCTTATTTTCATAGAAATACAGAATTGGGAGCTCTGACGGCTTAGTGGTAAGGAAGTACACTGCCAAACCAGAGGCAGATAGTTCAAATCCACCAGCTTCTCTGTGAGAAAAAGATGGGTGTCCGCAAATGAGATTTGCTGCCTCTGAAAACCCACCGGAGAGTCAGCCATGGGTCAGTTTCGACTCAACACTAGACAACAGTTTTCATCCCGTTTGAACAGAGCACGGCGGCGGTGCCCATTCAGGTGAGCTTAAATTAGCAGGAGCCAATCACAGGCTGTCTGCTGTGCTGGTGTCAGGTCTCTGTGGTTGAGAGAATCTACACAGCGACCAATGCCCAGGAGAAATGAGCCTCAGACAGGTGAGTCACCTGATGTGGACAAGATCTGAGCTGTCCTCAGGTGAGTCACCTGACCTGGACGAGGTCTGAGCTGTCCTCAAGTGAGTCACCTGACATGGGCGAGGCCTGAACTCTCCTCAGGCGCTTTACCTCACCTGGGCAAGGCCTGAGCTGTTCAGACAGGTGAGTCACATGACCAGGACGAGGTCTGAGTGAAGACTCGAGGACTGAAGTGTTCAAATCCCAAGTCTGGAAGTTCATTACTGCCCCCACAGCACCGGTTACGCCCTCCCACTGAGGTGTCAGCATGGTGTCAGGGAGCCCACAGACGCTCCCAGTGGACACTTACCCCAGAATGAGGGAGCCCGTCAACTTGATGAGATTTCCTTCAAAGAGAAAGGAGAGGGTCTGTGTAACGATACTGTTTTAAAAGCTTAACAGAAAACAGGGAACCATGTTCTCTGCCTGTATCACATGTAACCGGGTAAGATGTTACTGAGATTTGCCTATGAACCTAATCAGTCACTAACTACACAGTTTTCCAAACAAACAGTCCCATTAGTAAGCACCGGGTATGTGAACAGTACCATAGGCAGGGCGCTTTGTTCCATTCCCCCTTCACTCCACCTCAGGTCTCCTCAGTTCTTGTCCCACCTCAGGTCTCAGGTCCCTCAGCCCCTGTCCCACCTCCAGTCCCCCAGCCCATGGCCCATCTCAGATCCCAGACTCCTCTGCAGTTCTGATTGGCCATATAATACAATGTAGCCGATGAAATAGGGGTGAATCCTAGATGGACAGATTTCATCTGAAATAAAAAGACATCATTCCTAAGGTAGCTTTGGTTCTGCTCTGGTGGCCTGTTGTTGTGGTGGTGGTGTGCCATCGAGTCGGAAGAGACCCACAGCTGACCCCGCCAGTGGGTTTTCAGAGGCGGTTCCTTACAGGAGGAGACTGCCCATCTTTTCCCACAAAGCGGCTGGTGGACTTGAACTGTGTGCCTTAAGGATTGCAGTGCAACTGCTACTAGACCACCAGAGATCCCTTAAGCTCCCAATTCAAAAGTATATATGATTTGGATTCACCTGATGGTTAGAGGAAGAAAGACGGGCCATCTACTCCTGTGTGATTCATTACCTCTGAAAACCAGCTAGAGGGTCATTTAGGGTCAGTTATGACTCGATAGTGCACAATAACATTCCCCCCTCCCCCAAATGAGTTGGTTTCGTTCCAGGTGGTAAAGAATTTTGGGGATAACAAAGAATGAAGAGCAGATTCTGACAGGATTCTGGGTTGCGTTTACTTTGCACTGCAAAGATCGGAATGGCTAAGTGAGAACTAGAAAGATGGACCATCGTGTGGTTTTCCTTCATTTTTTACACAAGTTTCTGCTGAAATGTACAACAGGCTCCAAGGCAACACTTCATTTTAACCACAGGTGGCAACAGATGTTACAGCAGAAAATCCAGATGTTTTAAAAAGGAACGGAAGGAAGGGTCATCATTGCCTCGGTCTTGTTTTTTGTCAAATTTCTTCATTCCACCCATGGCCTGCCTCGGACGCTTGCCCATGGCCTTCACTTTTAGCTCCTCAAGTTTCTTCTGTTTGTTTTTTTTTAAAATTAATTTTAATGAACATTTACAGAGATTTTAGATTTCCATTCATTCATCATTGCATTTTTGTCTCTACATGCAGCCTTCTCTTCCTCATTTATCTCCTTGGTCCGCTTCTTGGGCTGTTTCAGAAGCTGCTTCTCACCACCTTCATGGCCAGACATGGCCCCAGCTGCCCCTTCCCCAGACCAGCCACCAGCTGAGCTCCCAAGTCCCTGTTCACAGTAACATTCCTGATGGCTGGAACTCAGCAGCTGCCTTGTGACTCTTGCTCTGAATAGTTTTCTGAGCTCCTATTAAATTAGAAAAAAGAAAACCTTACTGACTGTAGCCACTGCAGTTACGTTTCTGGTTCCTGCACTAAACACAGTCTTACTGCAAATCTGAACTGTTTGGTATTCCCCATGACAGCTGTATTTACCCGGAATGCTTAACTGTGCTCATGGTATCCTAGACGTGGACCAAGAAGCTGTTGTCCAGACAGAACAAGACAACACTACCTGCTGGAAAATCAGGAAAGATGTGTGTCAGGCTGTATCCTTTCTCCACACCTGTTCAATCTGTAGGCTGAGACAGTCGTCCTAGAAGCTCGATAGCAGGAGGAAGAACATGGTATTAAGATCAGAAGAAGATTCATCAATAATCTGACTTAAGTAAATGATACAACCTTGCACGCAGAAAGTGAAGACTTGAGCACTTAGTGCAAAAGATCAAAGACAAAAAAAATAAAGTTTAAAAAAAGATCAAAGACTACAGCCTTTAATTTGGATTATAACTTAACACCAAGAAGACACAACTCCTCAACACTGGACCAGCGGGCAACATCATGACAGATGGAGAAAAGACTGAAGTTGTCAATGATTTCATCTTACTCAGATCCACAGTTGAGGCCCATGGTGACAGCAGTGAAGAAATCAAAAGACAAGCTGCACTGGGAAAATACGCTGTTAGGGACCTCTCTAAAGTGCCAAGGAAAAGAATGTCCGTTTAAAGACTAAGGTGCATCTGATCTAAGTTACCATTTTCCACTGCTTTCTACGCATGAGCTGGATGAATGAAGAAGGGATGCCTTTGAATTGGGTGGATGGCAAAGGACACTGATATTTCGTGGACTGGAAGAAACCAACTTTGTCTTGGAGCAAGTGCAACTGATGTGCATCTAAGTGACCAGGATGAGAGACGCAACGTCGCCTCCGAAGCTTCGTGAATGTTGTCAGGAGGGGTCAGTCCTTGGAGAGGAGACATCACTGGGAAAAGTGGAAGGTCAGAGAAAGAGAAGACCCTCGATGAGATGGGCTGATGCCGTGACTGCAGCAGCGGGAAGTTGCGAGGATGGTGTAGGATCTGTCATTCTCAGGACATACCTGAGAAGGAGAGATGCCCAGAGGAGTTGAGCCATGCAGCACTGTGGGCTGCAGGGGCCCCTGTTTACCCCCCATCTCCTAGGCCTGTGCCCTGCCCGGCAGGCTGTGAGTTACCCCTGGACACCTAAGCCTGGGAGGAGCACTAATTACAGGCCCATTGCCGAGCAAGGGAAGTCCTTTCTCCCTGGGCATGCTCCTGACAGCGTGAGAGGAAGCTCTGTGCAGCAGGTTAATTACAAGTGCAGCAGAATGTCCTGGAGGTACCCACAACCCACAGCCCTGGGCACTGGCAAGTGTCCCCCTCCGGCCCACCACTAACCTGGCCTCTCCACTGCACCCGAGAGAAGAGGACAGAGCCTCCCACCTCTCTTACAGTGACCTCTCTACCTGCTCTTGACCTTAGTGGGTAAGAAACAGTGCCCCTCCTTCGCTCTTTCTGTTCAGAACACAGGACTCAAACAAGCTTCAAGAGGAAAGGATCCAACCACATGCGAGGCCAGTAAGAGAGAAGTGACCCTATCAAGAGAGGCTGGGCCTTCGGCACGAGGCAAACCCTATGCAGACGTGGCCCCAGGGGGCTCCTGGCCCCCTGGGAACATGGAAGCTCTGTGCCGTAGCAACAGCCTCCTGCCTCGGGCCCAGGCCTGGGGGAGGCAGTTCTAGGAGGAACGAGACACCCACTTCTGATGAATAAGGAAGTGACTGAAACCCAGGCCTCGCTCAGGAGAAACACATGGAAGCAGCAGAGACCAGGTGCAGGGGCCTGGTGCCAAGCATGGGTTCTCCCACATAGAGGTGCCCCTCGCAGCAGGTCCACCAGAGCTGTGGTGACACCAGCCCAGGGTTGTCCCTCAGCTGCTGAGGAAGAGCTGGACCAGCACGGAATGGGGCAGAGCACCTGGTCACACCTAACAGTGTCAGGAGAGCCGTGCAGCCTTCGTGGGGAGCTGACACCTTCGGGTGCCCCACTCTCCTGTCCTCACTGCAGGGGTGTGGGCGACTGCGCATACCCAGAGGGCCCTGCAGGACGCTCCTTGCCCACCTGCGCCGGGGAGTCAGGGGCTGACTAGGGCTAGGCCTCACATGGAAGGACCGGACAGAGAGTGCTCACTGCTGTTCCCCCGCAACCCTAGGGGCTAAGATGCAGCCTGGCCAGGAACAAGCGCCCCACACAGGTCTGCTCAGAGGATGCAGCACGCCTTCTGTGCAGAGTCCTCAGACTCCCACAAGTCAAAGTCAATTCCGACTGACTGGCCCCCAAGTGTGTGTGAGCGGGGGTGTGTGTGACTGTGTCAGGAGAACTGACTGTGCCCTGCTGGGTTCCCACAGGCTGATTTTTCAGGAGACCACCAGGCTCTACACAGTCTCAAACCTCCAACCTTTCGAATAACAGCCAAGTGTGTTATCTGTTTGTACCACCCACAGAGTGTAAGTCAAGTCTGTTATAGCTGTTATTATATTGCACTGACAAGGTTCCTGAGGTCAAGTTTAAAAGATGACTGTAAACACAGGGTCATAGCAGGCATAGTTCAATGGTGATTAAGTTTTTAAAACACAATGCACATGAGTGAGCCTCTCAAATACAACATGAAAGAAAGAATGTGTGAAACACAATGTACATGAATGATAAACAATGTATACAAATTTTGTGTGCAAACAAATATGAAATATTTTGCAACAGATTTACCAGCTCTCCCTCTAAAAAAAGGGAAATAACCCCATGACTACAGAGTCACTGTACTAAAAAGAAGTGGCTGACACAGAAAAATGTCAAGAAACAACATATGATCAAGAGGCAATGGTGATGAAGGAGGAAGTGCAGGCTGCTCTGAAGGACTTGGCAAAACAATAAGGCCCCAGGAATTGATAGAATACTAATTGACATATTTCAGAAACAGATTCTGCATGTGCTCACCAAGTTGTGCCAAGAAATCTGGGGGACAACTACCTGATCAACTGACTGGAAGAGATCTATGTTTATTCCCATTCCAAAAAAAAAATGACCCAACAGAGTGGAACTTATAGAACAACATCACTAATATCACACCCTAGCAAGATACTGCTGAAGATTATCCAGAAATGACTGCAAAAGTACATTGACAAAGAACTATCAGAAATATAAGCTGGGTTTAGAAGAGGTCATGGCACTAGAGATATTATTGCCAATGTCAGGTGGATCTTGGCAGAAAGAAAAGAGTACTGGAAGAATGTCTATCTGTGTTTCATTGACTATGCAAAAGTATTTGACTGTGTGGATCACAGCAAATTGTGGCTAACTTTGAGGAAAATGGTAATCCCAGAACACTTGATTGTGCTGTATTTGGGCCAGGAAGGAGTCCTCAGAACAGAGCAAGGAAACACTGCATGGTTCAAAATCAGGAAAGAAGTGCATCAGGAATGCTTCCTGTCTGCATTCCTTTACAATAAATATGCAGAACAGATCATTAGGGAAGCAGAGCTTTATGAGGAGGAATGTGGCACTGAGATTGGAGGAAGAGTCATCAACAACCCGTTATGCAGATGACACAACCTTGTTTGCTGAAACTGAAGACCAGAAGCGCTTGCTGCAGAAGGTCAAAGACTACAGTCTTCAATATGGATTGAAGCTCAACATCAAGAAGACAAAGATTCTCACCACTGGGCCAACTGGCAGCACCACGACAGATGGAGAAGAGATTGAGGTTGTGAACAATTATAGCTTTTTTTGGTTCCACAATCAACACTCTTAAGATCAGCAGTCAGAAAATCAAAAGAGGAATTGCATTGAGAAAATCTTCTGTTAAGGAGCTCTCTAGAGTTTTGAAAACAACGATATCTGTCTAGAGAGTGCGCCTAATTGTAGCCAATGATAGCTGTCTAAGGTGTGCGCAATTCAGGCCATGGTCTTCGCAGTTATTTGTTATGCTTCAGAGAGCTGGAGAATGATTAACAATGACAGAGGAGATGTCTTCAAATTGTGGTGCTGGAGAAAAATCTTGAACATACCATGGACTGTCAAGAAAACAAATAGGTCTGTCTTGGACAAGTTTCTCCTTGGAGGCTAGGCTTTTTAAGCTCCATCTCACATACTTTGGGCATGTAGCCAGGAGAGATCAGTCCCTGGAGAAGGACATCATGCTCAGAAGGGTGGAGGGACAGCACAGAAGAAGACCCCAGATGAGACGAACTGATACAGTAACTGGGGCAATGGGGGTCAGTGTGTCAGAATTAGTGAGACTGGCTCAGGACAGGGAAGGGTTCAGAGATGCTGTACATAGGGTCACAGGCAACTCGATGGCACATAACAACAACAACAACAACATAACGTTGACATGAAAAGTAAGGGAGGAAAAAGAGTAGGCCGGGTTCTGGGCCTCCAAGTTTGCAGTAAGGTATTAACACAGATGACCAGCAAAAGGAAGCTGACCAGCAGCCCACTGTTCTGGGAAGGGTGCCCTGGCTGAACTGTACTCACTGATGTGTCGCCAGTACGTGTCACTTGTGGGCGAGGGAGGAGAGGTCCCCATTCTTCTGCAGCAGATGACACAGTAAGCAGCCAGGGACATTCTGTGTGTAGAAAACAAAGATAAAGACTTTAGTAAGCACACTCCTTAAAAAACAAAGAAACAAAAGCAATTTCTTTTAGTTATAACACTAGGCCAACATCACCTGACTCAAGCCAAGGTATTTTCAATTACTTCATCTACCTGTCTCCTCCTTATTGTCGTCAAGTCAGATCCGACTCACAGCTGTAAAACCTCACAGGAGAAGATTGCACAACTCTCTCAAAAGGAGCAACTGGTGGATTCGAGCCATCAGAGATGGGCAGCTTTTGGATGGACAACTTGCAACACCCAGAAAGTCATTGCCGTCCCGCTGGGTTCCAGTTCTCATAGACTATAGCCTCCAAATCTTTGGAATGTGATCGCTGGTGTCATTTCACAGAGAGACTGTTGGCCCAACCAACCCAGGTTTAAATTAGGGTTAGGGTTAAAAATTAACTGAACAACATCAAAGACCACCACCTTCAGTGTGGGTTACATAGGAATATAATTGACTTTGGATATTTACTTTGTATCCTTACATAGTATTAATAAACTCACTTATTAATTCTGGGACTTTTTTTTTAATATTTAGGGCTTCCTGAGCTCTGGTGACCTAGAAGCATGAAGACTCACTGTCTGAAGGCACGCGGTTTGAATCCACCAGCTTTCTTCTCTCAGGAGAAGAAAGGACAATTCCCTCTCATGAGATTAACGTTATGAATATCCACCAGAAGGCCAGCTATGGGTCAGCTCTGATTGGACTAAGTGGACAATGTTGCTTGTGAATAGATACTATTTCACTTGCTCCAATTCAATCTGTGTACCCTCTGTCTCTTTATTTTGCTTTATTTCACCAGCTAGGACGCTCTGTGCTGCATGAGAACAGACATAGTGGGGTAGATCCAATTATTGGAAGAAGCTTCACTCCTTTACCATCAAGGATGATGCTGGTAGAGACTTTTATATATGTTCTTTTGTTGTTCAATGATGGCATTTGGGCCTGGAAAGATCTTTGTTGGAGGATTCCGAACTACAAATCAACCTCTTTATTACCATTATTCGAGTTACCTCATTTCTTTTAGCATTTTGTCTTTCAAAATATCAATCCACTTGACTTACATTATCAAACTCACAGACATATATTACAGAATTCTCTTCTGAATCTTTTTTCTTTATTCGTTCACTGTGTAGATCATAACAAACTGTGGCTGACTCTGAGAATGGGAATCCCAGAACACTTGATC